CACTCTTTCTGTTTTCTCTTTCTAAGGTGGGCCTTAATGTCCTGGTTCAGAAAGCCAACAAGTTCACCCCGGCCACCCGCCTTCTCGTCCAGAGATTCGTGCCGTTCCCTGCCGTAGGTAAGCCTTGCACAGTGAGGAGTGTCTGTGCGTGTGTGCACAGGCATGCATGTACCACCTGTGGGCGTGTGGGGCGGCCAGGCTCTGGGGGAGCTGGATGGCCCCTCCACACCTCTCCTGACACTGGGTGGGGGGTGTCTCCCGGCTGGGGCGACTGGAATAAAATGTGTATAGGTAGAAGAAAGGGTGACTGGGGCGCCACTGACCAACTCTGTGCCTGAGATTCTGTTTTTAGCACAGGGATTCTTAACTGGGGATCCCTAGACCCCCCAAAGGGTCAGCAGATAGAATGCAGTAGATCTCGTGGACTTGGTTGGGGAAAATATTTATACTAACCTCTAACTGAAATTTAACATTTCCTTCCATTATGAATGTAGGCAACAAATCACAGTAATAAGGGGGACTTGTGTCTGTCACCAGTAGAAATCACAGATATTTTCATGTCACATTACAGTTGTTACAAAGATCTTAAAATATCATTTATGCTCAACACTAATTCAAAATTATATTTAATAGATCCACCAGTAGATCTTGTCTTTTAATTAATTAGTTTAAAATCACATCTATTACTGTATCACAATTGAAAAAATATTTTGATAACTTATTTCAATACAATCCCTTTGTAATCCTACATATTTTGTTTTATGCACTTAGAGACATTATTTGGGGAGGGGTGCATAAGGCCTCACCAGCCTGTCACAGGGGTTCCTGACGCAGAGGAAGGTTTAAGCCTCCTGCTAGTCTGGTGCTCCAAGCCCTTGTGTGGTGGGCCCTTTATGTTTCAGGGGCCTCCAATCATATTCAGGTAACTGTGCGTGTACGTGTGTGTGTGTGTGTGTGTGTGTGTGTGTGTGTGTGTGTGTGTGTTCGTAGGGGCTTTCGCCTGCTTTCAGCGAGTCTTTGCTGGTCTTGGAGCCCTGAGCTTACAATAGGTGCCCCAGGCCTGGGCCCTGAGATCCCACAAAGCCCAGCCTGGCTCTTAAGAAGCCTACACCTTATTTGGAGAAAGGGCACAACAGTGAAAATTTTTTTTAAAATACACAACACTGACACTGAAAGAAACACAAGGCTGACCACCATTAGTCATCAAAAGAGAAGGAGAAGCAAGTGCTTGAACCATGACACTGAGTTCCCCATCTCATGCCAAAAGACAAAGCTGGGGCAGGCCCAGGAGGGGCATGAGGTCCCATTACCTCCCTGGTACCAAGGCTCAGCCTGAAGAGCCAGGCATGAGACCCAAGCTCATGGTCCCAACCCTATTCTTCATCTCCAGGGCTCAGCTTCCCCATCTGTAAAATGGGGGCACCAGTACCTACCTTCCTACAGTCTTGAGCTGAGGATCAAATGAGACCACAGACCAGTTCCATTCATAGGAAAGTGCTTTGAAGCACCTGAAAAGCCCCTGTGAGTAGGTGGGAGATCATTATTGAGCAGCCCCACCTCCTTGTGGGCCCAGAGGCTAATGAACTCCCAGGACCAACCACCTGGCTGATCCTCAGCCGACCCAGATAATTGCTATAGCAACTCCACACTTTTAATGAACTCTCAGCTATTTCTGGTGTGGGCCATTAATGGAATAACTCTTTAGATCTGACTTTGTTAAGGGGCCTAATTGAGTGAACACAGCTGCGGATCTTGCGTTCCTAGCCATCCTGAGCTGGAGGGTCAGATGCAGCCTGAGGAGGGGGCAGCTCTCAGCTGCACTGGACTGGATTTTGGTCTCAGCTGAGATGTAATCTGTCCTTGAACCAAATTCAGATAAGGACTCCACCAGGGTACCATTCCAGCCTTGCTTGGCCAGACGTCTTGCTGTGTGACCTTGAAAGTGGTCTTAACCTCTCTGGGGGCTCTCTCAGGAGGAGGGCCCCTGCTTTCAGGTTTGACCCATTCTGCCCCCCCTCCCACCTGAGACTTTCTGACCTGTCCCTCTTTGGGCTCCAGCCGATTCCTCTCCTGTTTTCTTGTCAGGGAGGAGCTGCAGCCCCTCACGTTGGTCCAGCCATTATGGAGGGTCTTGCAATCCTGCATATCCCTAGCCAGTTGCTCAGGGTATACACGGTGTGGTTTGCAGCCCTGATAGTCCTTGCTCGCCAGGATCCTGAGAGCAGTAGGCCCTTTCTGGCTGCTTCCTCAGGCCCACTGCCCAAGTCCTGGCTGTGTGCCTGCCTGCCTTCCACCCACTGCCCCTGTCTCTCCTCCTCCACATGCGGGCTTCCATCTCTCTGGCCCCCAGTGTCCATCCCAGGCCCACCTGCAAATGGGCACTTACCAGCCCCCTGGCTGGACACTGACACAGTGGTGTACAGGGGGAACAGGCATGCACCTCACCCCCCAGGGGCTTAAAAGCCCTCTAGTCCTCTCAGGCCACTGACTAGTCCCTGCACTTGGCCTCTCTGCACCTTATCCCCCAGGGCCTCCAGCCGGACAGAGCATCTGTTGGCCCAACAGCACACTGGCAGGGCCTAGGTCCCTCGAGGTGTCCACCTCTGCTTCCCATGGCAGGCGAGACCAGACTGCACCAGGCCACCATTAAGGCCACTGAGAAGCTTGCTCAGGACTTGCCTTACCTTGTAGAGGGTCCTTTGGCCCTCTGGCCCCGTGGCCTGGTGGAGAGACGGGACTCACGGGGCCCTGAGTGCACACGGGGAGCAGGTTGATGCAAGTGGAAGTGATCAGATGAAGCCCTGGTAGTTGGGGGTGGGGGCGGGGGGGTGGTGGAGCAGAAGGGGGTCTTCGGTTCAGGGGAGAGCAGGTCCTGGAAGGGCCCGTGTGCCCTGTGCTCAGCAGCCACACCCCTCCGCCCTCTCCCCTGGAGAGCAAGGAGGCTCCTGGGGTCAGCTACTTCTTCCCGCTGCTCTGTCCTGTCCTGCTCTAGCTTGAAGTCCGGGAGGTGCCCCACTGCTGCCCAAGAGAGAGGCTCGAGACCTCCGGGCACAGGATGCCTGATTCCTGCACCTGATTCGGCCACTCCGACCGCTCTCTGGCTTCAGACCAGACCCTGTTTCAGCCCTTTCCAACGGGGGCCTCTGTGAGAGTGGCTGCGGGCCTCCCGCGGGTTTGCAGAGCCCGGTGCGTCAGCGGCCCACGGCTCTCCACGTCTCCCCCGGCAGGCCTCTCTTCCCCCTCAGTTCTCCTCATTCTCTCTCTGGGAGGACCCTCTGGCAGGGTGAGCCATCCCCATTTTACAGAAGAATAGACATTCAGGCTTGCTGAAAGTTATCCTTAGCTGGCCAAAGCCCAGGCCTCCCAGGCTCGGGCCAGGGCTGCTTCAAGTTCACCTGGATACCTCCTTCACCCCTGCAGGGAGAAACTAGCTGAGGGATGTGGTCCAGAGGCAGCTGGGGCTCCTCAGCACCCACCAGGAGCGCTCCACCAGTCGGCCCCTGGCTTTTCAGCTGGGGTTGTGTGCACGTGTGTGTGACTGATGTGTGTGCATGCATGTGTGCTGGTACCTGGGAAGCCCCGAGGATGCTCACTGCAGCCAGTTCTCTCCCTCAAGGTGGTTTCAGAGCCTTGCTGTGCCCTAGTCTAGAACAGCAATCATGTGGGAAATCTCAGTTTCTATTTATACATGGAGATGTTAGGAAAGACGGTGAGCCCAGGAGCATGTGTGCTGGCATTGGAATTGATTGGGGACTGGTAATTAATCTGTTTAGACCTTAATTAATTCTTCAGTTCTTTCTTATTTGTGGACTGTCACGCTTAATTGTGTTCAGGAGTTCGAGCTCCGAGCAGGCCCTCCATTAATTGATGTGTGGTTGCTGTGAGGTGGAAGTTAATGGTTTGGGGAGCTGGGCAAACAGTGTAATTAAAGGTCAATCGAGGAGCCATCGGAAAAATACCCCTGCCCCCAGGTCCAGCCACCAGTCTCCATGAGCGGAGTCCATTCCAGGGGAGGCAAGCTCCACAAACAGCCTTCTCGTGAGGCCTTGAGGTGGGAGCTGGAGGAGTGGCAGGCAGGATGGAGTGGCAGGTCCCAGGTGCCATGATGGGGCACCAGGGAGAGGCACAGACTTATCTTGTGAGGCATGGGCAGGGCGGGGGCTATGAGCTGGAGCTGAGGGCACGGCTGGTTACCCAGGCCTGTCTGTGCATGTGGCGGTGAGGGCCGGACAGGAAGCTCTGAAGGTTGCCCCCAGGCTGCCTGACTGGATCCACGTGCAGCAGGGGGCAAGCCGCGTGTGTGCTAATAAAGAGCCCCATCTGGGCCTGAGCTCCCGGCAGGGGAGGCCTGAGCTTCAGCGCCGCTGGCCAACTCCTTGCACAGGGAATAACCTTCCTGCATGGACCGGAAATGGCAGCCTCATCATTCCTTTGTGGGAAGTGACTTCACCCTGTGCTGTTGGCAGCAGTCCCTTACATTAAATGTCACAGCTCACTTCATCGCCATGAAGGAGTCTCTGTGTCCAGAAGTGAGTCTGCTCCTCGGGGCGTCTGGGCAGTCTTTGGGAGCGGTCTTCTGCTCGTTCACACCAGTGTGCTCCACCTCTGCCCCCATCTCCACGCTTCCCTTCACGCCCAGGCCATGGGTCTTCCTGGCATTGATTCCCCCTTCACTTTACCACTCTTCCCCTGGTGCTCAATCCACCCTGCTTTCTTCACCCGGGAGGTGGCCCCGGCAGTGTCCCTGAGCCTCAAGGGTCAGTCCCCAGGCCTCACCTCCTCCACCCTTCATACCTGTGGTTGGAAGACAGCAGAGTGCACCTGCGTCCGCTGTGTCCTGGGCCTCGTGATTTATGCTCCTTGTGTCCAGGTCAGTGGTACTTAATGTGGCGTCCACAGCACTTAGGCCATCCTGGAGGCCCTCAAGCTGCTTCCTGGACCTGGCCGTGCTCTTGCTCATAGCCCATCACACTATGGTCAACGTTGTGACTTCCCTCCTGCCCTCTTGCTGGGCCCCAGGCCTTTGCACAAGGCCCTGCTTGACTGGAGTGCCCGCTCTTGCCCACTACCTCAGTTCCACACTCTGCCTTCTCTTGGTTGCCAGGCCTTCGTTTCTC